TGACACATTTGCGTGTAATTGATAAAAAAAGTCATGTGTTCTTAGGCGCTGGCAAGAGAATATTAGTTCATAGCAGTTTAAACCTATGAAAATATTTAGTCATTTAATTGCCGAATTTCTCGTCGACAGAATTTCCAAACTATGATTTTCCGAACTAGGATCTTATAATAGAAAAATTGTATGATTCAATTCTGCAAATAACAGTCATCTGTTCCTAACCAAGGAATAACTATTTAAACGATACTGGTCATAGAAGTCCATGAAGTCGGTCATATCTTGTATACTATGTTGTCCTTTAAAGAAAACAAATCGACAACAGACTCAGTTAACTCATTCCCTTGTGGTTTACTTCTAACAAAGTACACTTGTTGATATTGCCACCCGGCACTACGCGTCACCTGATATCGAAGGCAAAAAAGTGGCCGGAAACGGCTCCTTGACAGTATGAAATTGAATACAAGAATAATTCCTATCGCATAATTTTCTTTAGATCTTATCGCAACTAGTTTACCAATCTTTAGAACAGGCGTAAATTCCAACGCAGCCGGAAAATGGAACGGAAAACAGAAAAATGCCAGGTCCTCAAATGGATGCCCCCAGCATGCTCCTTCCCAGTCTATCACGGCTAGGGCTTGAGCCTGAAATAGGTAACACGATTCGGTTAGAATGTGGCTAGAAAGAGACATAAGTAAAAGGAGCAGTTCGGAGATGACATTATAGGGAAAAAAAGATACTCCTGCTGAGACAGAGCTGAATAATGAAATGCTACGTCAGCGGGTTGCCGTCAACAACGCGAGCTCAAGTGTCCTAGGTCTAAAATTTAGCGAGATTAGCGGAAAATAGTAAGGGCTGACTTTTAAAACCGAGGAACTCTGTTTCCGTCGAAGGAATTTTCCTATTTCCAGAGGTTTTAAGGAGTAAATTAATTTTTGAAACTTTTCAGGGGGTGTACCAAGTTTTTGGAGGTTGTCCTGTAAAAGAAAAGCGGCAAGGAAAACGAACACCTCGAAGCAACAGAATAGGTAATCATTCATGCGAAAGACTCAAAATCCGTGTTTCCGCGGCAAAATCTAGCGCATACGTGCACGTTATCCAGCTCTGTCTTCTGATGACACATCATGTAGTAAGGAAAATTAGTCTAGCGTCATTTGCTCTATTTCTGGTGAATACTACCGTTTGCGTTTCCTGGGTGTATCGCGTTTACGTGTTAGTTACCTGAGAGGGTTTGTATGTCTCTTTAGTTGTGTTGTGTACTTGTAGTTGATGCTTATATCGTTGCTTAGCGTCATGTGACTTATATCTAGTTATTTATTATGTTTTGTGTATAAAATAAGTCCTGTGGATTAATGTTTATATTCACTTTTTTGAAGCAGCTTCGTCACTTTTTAAATGCCCATGCCTGTAGAGTTATACACAGTTAACGGAAATCATTAGTCGTGACTTACATGGATACTCCAAATTCAGGTTTCTGTGTAAGGACTGGAACTGAATAAATTATAAACCGAATTATTTACCGAGAACTAGTTTATTCAGTTCCGTCCCCCCCCACCCCTTGCGGAGACCTGATTTAAGGTAATACTTCCATGATTACCGTCACGAATATAGACCAAGGTTCTACACTATCAAAGAGACAAAACAACGCTTGTTCCATAATACAATCGAGAAGAAAGTGCAGTAGGTGTAGTTTGTTGTTATGTGGTGTAGTAGGTGTAGTTTGTTGTAATATCTATGGTAATACTTCCATGATTACCGTCACGTTGATTTAGGAGTATCCATTTAACCCTTTAACTTCCAGAAGTGATCAACCTGTAACTTCTTCCTGTAATATCCATACATGATCCAGCAAACAGGTAATGAGAATACTCAAACTTATCAGGTAGAAGTTGTTACTATGATTGAATATCAAATTCTCGTAACCAATTTACAAGGAAACGTGTGGCAGCTAGAGGGGAGAAATCATATTCAGACCTTGGGAGTAAAAGGTTATTAAGCCATGACCGTAAATCCTTTTTCTACATTGTGAGTGCATGTGTCAGTTCTTGTTCTCTTTGTATTTTTCCTGCTCAGGTTTTGCATAAATGATGCCCACCTATACTTGTGACTTCGATTATACTCTACAGAGATAAAAGCAATTGTATTTAACACAGTACAGGCGGAGCAGCTAAATTGAAGATCATTACGAAATAAAACGGCATAAAAGGTTCCAACCATGCGGGATGCTTTAGTAGAATGGTCTTCCCATATCACAAAGCTCGCCACAAGATTGCACTAACTAAAACTTTTTAGAGGCCCTATGCATTGAAGACTGAGTGACTTTCTTTCATCCCCGACGGCCAAACAGAAGCATGTGTTCTCATCCTTCAAAACAACGGTTTAATTAGGTTAAAAGTTTTAACCCTGCGAGAGGGTATTAGTCTTGATATCCATACATAAGCACAAACATACTACATTGTAACATTGTCTCAATATGAGTTACTGAACCAAGATGCTAACGCACTATCTAAAAATAAAATCCATTTTAATTACCTCTTCTGGGTGCCAAAGTATATTTGAAATTCTGAAGTCTTCGTGATGAATGACTGTAAATTAAAAAGCAATGGTACCATCAAATGTTACAAAGGTTTGATCAGAAAAATTTTAATAGAAGCGTTTCTTCTTTCCTTTTCTTACACCTTTGTTCCATCTGTCCAGCCTCCTTCACCCTCCTTGCATACCCACTCCTCCTTCCTCCCTCTTTCAACTCCCTTACTCCCGTGTTCCCACGTACCCTCACTCCGTC